TTTTCTGGAGAGAAGGCCCATAAGGAAAACAGATTGACTGCGACATCACGGTGTATCCCAGAAGTTTATAGGGTAGATTAGAATGTGTGCAATTTAAATAATAAATTGTTGTAGAATTTAGCATTTCATTTCTGGCAGAACTTTTGACATTCAGTTTCAGAGACAATAATGGGCCAAGAAGTAAAGTAAATGATTTAATACACCTGAAAGGTTAGAGATCTGACAGATTGATGAATGTATGCATTGATCTGAGAATGGCAGTGAACCCTTTGAGCACCTGGTACAGTTTGCATCTTTTAAAAGAGTTAACTTGTGACATGATATTTAAACTATTCACTGGTTTTGACAAAATCATGACCCACTTTTCCCCTTGTATGTTTACAGCTTAGAGTAGGGCGAGTTTAATTATAGTACTTGTGGAAAGAAGTCATGAGCAGCACTAGCAAGATATAAATTCCGAAAAAAAACTGCATCATCCTGAACGGAATTCTATTACTGGGGTTGGGAACTGATTAACACACATTTTAATTACTTTAATTGGTGATGAGTGCTTTTCCTATTAATTATACTTGTGTTCAAACCATGCTTGTTCAGGCATCAAGCACAGTAGCAAGAATACACTTGATGTGCACTTAAACTCTAATTTCCAACACTTACTTGTCCACTTTACACTTGATGACATCTTTTTCACTCGGACTGTTGAGTACTACAATTGGGACTAAGAGGTTTGAGTCTTGGTAGGTCCACTAACATCTCGTCCTTTTCAGATCAATAAAGTGAACAATCATGACTTAGAACTGTGGACATGTCCTCAACATCCCAAGCCAAAGATGCCAAATAGGTGGTGGGGCAACAGTACCTGGGCAACTGCCTTGCTTTTCACTGATATCTGTCTGATTACAATTGCATATCATGGAACAACACAATACATAGAATAATAAATGCAATGCAGATGCTCTGAAGCTGCTTATGTTAAAAATACTTGGGTCCTTGCCCTCCCACCGGCAGAATCCTTTCTAAGCTGGTTCACACAAACACACATTCAAGCTATGCTTATTGCCCTGTTTAGAGCATTGCTAATGAGTTGACATTGAGCTGGCTGATAGAATGAAAAATATAGATGGACCCTTGACTCCTCTTGATTTAACTTCTCCTTTAAATATACCGGGAGAATATTCTGTTTTTCATCTTTCTTTTCTTTTGTGTGACTTTAGTAAAGGCTGGACTTGGTTGTCATTTCTTGAAACTGATAATTCCATTTCAGATAACTTGAAGTGAAAATACAACAATGTCAAAATTATTGCCCCCGTCTTTACTTTTTGATAGGTTTGGGCATAAATTTCTCTCCCCCTGACTTTGGTGCATTGGTTGGACCTGAATATTTCTGTTCTTTTTGCATTCATATGGGGTGGATTGATTCCCAAATCGGTCGATATTTAATGACAAGTTACAAACTATCAGTAATTATGTTGTGTTTTTCAATCTATTGTACTTTCCACAGTACGTTGTAAGATTCATTGGACTTTTTTTTTTGCCACCAAAGCTCTGGAAAATGATTTGATTGAAGTTGTCAGGAACAAAGTTGTACGTGCACCAGCTCTCTGGAATATCCTCCAAAAATCCCTTCACCTTTCACTCTCCTGCCCTGATTTCAAAAGCATTCAAAAGTCGACCTTTTTCAATCATGCCTTCGGTCACCTTTCTCCAACCCCTGACCCCGGTTTCTACCATGCTCAGATTTTCTGACCACCCATGTAAGGTGTAAGCCTCTTTGAGCCTTTATCTTATATTAAAGGTGTGATACAAGTGTAAATTATTCTATACTATATTGATACTCAAAGTAATGTCACTACACTTTAAAGTGTAATCCTGTGAAATGCTTTGAGATGTCCTGATGTGAAAGCTATGCCAAGATGATTATTATTATTATTTTATATTCTCATTCAAACCCCATTCATGTCTAAGCTATTGAGATCATTTTGAAGAGTGATTTGAATCTGTAATTTCCTTATTCCCCCCAGCATCCACAATACTAAGTACATTTTAGATGAGCCCAGGGCTCGATGTGTAATGGGAAATGTCTGCAACAGACTGTAGTCTTAGCATTGACCTCCTCCAGTACTAGGCGTCATCTGATAAAATGTGAAAATTCAGAGCAAATCATTGTTCCAAGCAGTTCAAAGGCTGCCAGCTTCACACAGCCTTGGATCCCGGTTCCATGTCAGCAGGGAGTTTCTTTTTAAGTTAAACATTTCTCACATGTAATTTTCTTTAATAAGTGCTTCTTTGACAAAAATAATTTATAATAAATGCAGTAAAATCTCCAAAAGATATTCTAACTGCAGTATACATATTGTAACTGTGTAAGGATGATTGATATTTTTTTCTTTATTTGGGTGAATGCAGCAGAGATTTCCCCTGAGGTTACCCATGTGCAATTCTTTTGTTTTTATACTTCCAGCAGTCTATGCTAATATAATAGACCTAATATTGAAGAATCGTAAACTCTGCAATCTTGTTTTGTATTTTTAATCTCTGTGGACTCCCAAGGCTAGCACATGTTGGGAACACAATTTTCTACATCCATAAGATTCCTATGCCTGTTCAGGAACAGTAGTTTTCACACACGGACTGTAATCTGCTCAGCAATAAGATGCTCCAAATTGCTCGGGTTCATTAACACTACCAGTGTATGTTTCAAACAAAGGCAGAAATGTCATTTCTTGAGCCATTCTGAAAATGATCAAAATTTACCATTAGGTTTAGGGGTGACATTTGTGGAGAATGCATTATTTTAGTAGCGGTTAATCACGAAAGAGATGGTGCGATGTTTCTGCGCTTGCGTGAAATGAAAACTTAATAATTGCAAATCGTGCTGACAATGCGAGCGAAGCTTCCATGCTAGGGATACCACTTGAAGATCACTCAATCATTGTGTTGCCAGTGCTGTGATGCAGAAGATGCAGGAAGTTTGACAGTAGGGGACAGTTCATTAGCCGAGCTGTGCTCAATTGATATCTGCTCTTATCTGCTTTCTTGCAAGAGTCGATGGACGTTTTCTCCTTTCCTTCCAGCCAGAGAAACAAATCACTTAGAGAGCCATCGGTTAATTACTATTCACCAGGGTGGATTTGAAAACGACAAGTCTTGCTTGACAAATTTAATGGAGTTCTTTGAGGAAATAAGAGTATTGATAAAAGCAATGGAGTGGATGTTGTGCATGTGAATTTCCAAAAGATGTTTGATAAGGTGCATCATTAGGAGGCGTATACCCCAGATCTAAGCCCCGGGATGAGATGAGAGCCTGGAAATCACTCCTCACTTCCTCTATTTGTTTTTAAGTGTGTTCTATATTACGTATTCATGTATTGGGGAAGTTTGCTTAAAAATTGTGGTTGAATGTCAGGGTGCCCTGTGGGAGCCAAGAAGCTCCATGCAACCATACCTAAGAACATTCAGCCTGAAGCATTGCAAATTCGATTTAATCACTGCAGTTTATCAGATAATAAACTTGCAAGTGATCTCCAGAAAGGTGAACAGTATTCAAGCTATTTTAGTCGCATCAAAGAACATACTCTAGGTGATTTGAGGGAGAACAAAAGAGTTAAAATGTTTATAAAGTTGTGGTTAAAAAAGCAGTTGTCAAGAAAACAGCAGTGGAAATGACAACGAGGATTAGAAAAGGTGCCTTGGGACATAAAATACACTTTCTGCAGGGATGTTGTTTTGATGCACAAGATCCTTGGCAGAGTCCAGTTCTCCCCGATAGATATGACATGCACATGGTGGTTCCCTGCAGGAAATGCACTTTATGTCCTAAGGCACTTGTTCTGGTGGAAGGAACCATTTCTGCTGACATTTTCTATACCAGTGTCTTTGCAACCTGATGAATACATAACTTAAGATATTTCTATTTGTTGAAATTCTTCTGAGATTTAAAGGCCTCTGTTGATGATATAGTCACATCAGCTAGCTGCCTCCAATCATTTTCCAAGTCAGAAAACTCCTGGTTTAAGAGACCTTCAGCCTGTCACATATGGTTCAAAATCATATGATTAACAATGGTGTGAGTCGATTCCCCCATATCACTAATCTGGAATATATATTTTTCTATTAAATTTATTGCATGTGGCAGTTAGTTAGTCTTATTTAAGTATTGAAACTGTAACACTCAACATATTAGTAGAGTTTTTATAATAAAAGTTGAATTTATTTTATTAAATTGTAGTCTCTGAGGATTAAATTAATATGAGGAGGCTCCACCATAATGCTTTGATTCCTAGAGTGATAGAATGCAGGGTTCCGTATGTGATTTTCCACACTGCAAGTTATCTATTGCATCCCTGTGGTGTCGGGAGGTGACGAGCAGAGGCCAAGAAGGAAGTAAATTCACCCGGGGCTGCTTCTGCACATCTCTGAATGATTGCTTATTGAGCAAGCCAGGCAGAGCCTTGGGAACAAAGTGCCTACCATCTATCCTTACTGAAGGGTGATTACAAAGCCGAGAAGGGAGGGAAAGAAAGAAGAAAAAAAGAAACATTTTAAAAAAAAGATTACATAGAATATTTCTTCCAATGGTTATTAACTTCTGATAGACAAAGGAGTGTTCTTGATTCACTTTAATGAAGTTAGATTGTGGCTTCTTATTGACGACACATTTTGCCGAATTCCTCCCAGTGCAAGTAGGAATGGGAGAGTCAATATGAATACAGGTTTTGAAGGAAACACATTGACATTTTTGTAAGTCGATCCCATGATTTTTCACTATTGGAAATGAGGGTTTACCTCATGGCTGTTTGTGGGATGTCGTGTGCAAATTGGCTGCTGTGTTCACCTACAAAAAGACCGTCACTACATTTGACAGTAAAGTGCTTTGAGACAACAACAACTTGCACACTTGTAGCACCCTCCACGCAGTGTAACATCTCAGAACGCAGAGAGACATTGTAATGATATAGACATTTCATCAAATGCAAGAATTATCGTATTATGCCTTGCAGAGATGATGAACATTTGCTGATCCAGCACTACTGCCAGAGTCTGAACCAGGAGTCACCATTGAGCCAGCCTCGCAGCCCAGCTCAAATCCTCATTTCACTGGAAAGCGAAGAGAGAGGGGAATTGGAAAGAGTGCTATCTGATCTGGAAGAAGAAAACAGGTTAGGATGGAAGAACAGGAATACTGAGAATGGGTGGATTAACACTACCCACCCCGACACCCCCCCCACCCCCAAAGCAGCAACACAGATTCTAACAGAATTCCTTAATAACAAGCTGAAATCGCAAATAGGGCCTCCTTCAGATGATCAGAAATGTGTCATCAACTGCAGGGAACCCCACTCTACATATTCTGCTTCCATATTCCCACGGATTTGTGTAAGAGAATTAAGGAGAAGTGGATTATTATTTCTATTATTAAGACACAGGTTGGTCTACACTTAATTTTTTTTTAAATTCTCATTATGAAGATGTAAAAGAGCGCTATATTCACAAGATCTCAAACCTTTACTAATATTGATGCTGATAAATACTTCTGTGATTTAGGATTTAGACTTGGGCAAGTGGTACAGCTACTGTGGAATACGACCTGATAGTTGGTATTCTTTCTATTTGCAGGAACCTTCAGTCTGAGTACGAGAGGCTGAAGCAGCAGCATGATCACAAGGGCCTGTCCCCCTTGCCATCGCCTCCTGAGATGATTCCTGTTTCACCGCAAAGTCCCAGGGACGCTGAGCTCATCGCTGAAGCTAAGCTGCTTCGCCAGCACAAAGGTCGCCTTGAGGCCCGGATGCAGATCCTCGAGGATCATAACAAGCAGTTGGAATCCCAGCTGCACCGGCTCAGACAGCTCCTGGAGCAGGTGAATGTTTAAGCTTTGTCACACACTGAGAAAGGATAGATCATTGGGTCATTTTACTTGGTTCATTTCTTACGAGCCCCATCGTCCACCTATTCCGCAAGGCCCGCCTTGACAGGTAAACCCCCACCCTTCTCTCATCCACATCCTTCCCAATTCTTCCCCCTCATACTCGACAGTCGTTTACCCCTCAGTCTACATCCATCCCCAAAGCCTCCCCCGCCAACACCCCCAAAGCCTCCCCCGCCAACGCCCCCAAAGCCTCCCCCCCCCCCCCCCCCCGGAACAGGTTATTGCAAATCAACTTCGCTCACACCACTCCCTCCACACCCTACTCGAACCCCTCCAGTCTGTTTCTCACCCAGCATAGGGACAGCGCTCATAAAAATAACAAATTATGTCCTCTCTCTCTGTATGACCAGGGCTCCCTCTGCCTCACCATTATCCTGGACCTCTCCACCACATTCAACACAGTCGATCACGCCATCCTCCTCCACTGTCTCTCCTCCCTCATCCACCTTAGTGGGACTGCACTTGCTTGGCTTGAGTCCTAATTAATAAACTGCCAACAATACATTTCGTCACATGTTTTTTCCTCTCGCCCCCGCCCGGTCAACTGCGGGCTATCCCAAGGCTCCATCTTTGGCCCCCCTCTTTTCCTTATCTACATGCTCCCTCTCAGTGATGTCAACTGCAGACATGGGGTCAATTTCCCCATGTATGCGGATGACTCCCAAATCTACTTCTCCCCCAGCTGTGACTCCCAGTCCGCTGATTTCCTGTCAGTTTGTTTGACGGACATCAAGGCCTGGATGAGCAAATTTCCTACAGCTGAATCTCGACAAGATGGAAGCCATACTTGTTGGCTCCCATCATAGTCTTCTCTCCTGCGGGTCTGAACTCCTCGAGCTCTGCCTCAGATTCACTGAATCCATGCACAACTTAGGCATCAGGTTCATTCCGTAGCTTTCCTTTGTACCACACATCCATTCCCTGACCAGGATCGCTTTTGTCCCCCTCTGTCACATTCCCGCCTCCCTCCGTACCTCCAATGCAGCCAAAACCCTCATCCATGCCTGTGTCACTTCCCTGCTGGGTTATTCCAATGCACTCCTTGCTGGTCTGCCAGCTCCACCATACACCAAATTCAATTAATCCAAAACTCCATGCCGATCTGCTTACTCCCCACTTCACCACTCGTTCTCTCAGCTGGCTCCGGTCTCCTGTTTGTCCCTTATCCACTACGCTCCACCATCGGTGGTCATGCCTTCAGCCACTACACTCTAAAACTCTTCCTTGATCCCTTTGCCCTGACCCCTTCCTCTCCACCTTCAAATCCTGCACAAACACCTTCCTTTTTGATCGTGCTTACAATCACCTCACCTCTCCCTGGTTCAGCACTATATAGAACTCTATATAAATACAAGTTGTTGTTGTTTCTGAGTTGCTTTTTGTAAATTTTATTTCCTTCTAACTACTCTATAGGATCATCAATAAGTTCTCCTCTAAAGCTTCTGTTCATTAATCTAAATATTACTACCTTCTGTAACCCCTCATCATATTTCATCTCATTCCAGCTATTCAATCTGATTACTTTTTATTGTTCTACCTCCAGTGCTGAGCTGTGGTTGAAGCAGAACACTTCATTGTATTTAATTTTTCAGAGAGGCAACTTGCCACCTCGTTGCATGACCAAGAGTAGAGATATTTTAGATTTCTAAAATGTCTAAAACCAAATCTGAAACAATGCATTAATGTTACAATAAATTTTATGAAGCAATTGGGTCTTTAGGCTATGTTCATACTCCCAAGCACATCTGACTTAAGACCTGTTGACTTGAACGTATCTACATTTCAAATGAGGTGAGGCTAAGCAGTAGCAAGAGCTAGATCAGTGATGGCCAACCTTTTTGGTTGTCCAACCAAATAATTTTTTCTTTATTAAATTTTTCTTCATTTACGGCTGTGCCATCGGTACCTCTGCTCAGTAGCTGCTGGAAATAAGGTTTTGATTTGCCTGGACTGGTGCGGGTGTTCGTCGGGCCACTTCTCGACACCCCAAAAGAGGCCCTTAGTGTGGTGGCCGTTTTGGGGGCATCAAGAAGTTGCAAGTCCCACCAAATCGATACTACTGAGCCATGGCACGGCCACAAATGAAGAAAAACTCAATAAAGAAAAAACAATTTGTTTGGCCAACCAAAAAGGCTGGCCACCACACGAGCTAGATAATGGAAAGGTGACCATGGAGTAACACAATAATATGGCACATCATATCACCATTTCCAACCATAGGGCGATAGCGAGTGCATCTGATGGCACACTTTCCAGTGAATTGGATCAAGTGAGCCAAAGCATTCAAAGTCTTTAATCTGCTTCAATTTGTTTTTTTTGCTAGACTGGCCGTAAATTAATCTCAGAACACATCCACCTGTAAAGGACACATTAAATAAGCATTTTTTCGGATCAATGCTAATCACTTCTTTGTTGTTTTTTGCAGCCTCAGACGGAGGTCAGGGTGAATGGTACTACCGTCTCCTCCCCTTCCAGCTCCTCACAACGATCGGATAGCAGTCAACCAGTGCTGCATCACGGAGTTGGCAGTCAGACTTCGGAAATGCTGGGTAAGACGCTGTACTACTGTAGCCTGAATGAGCTGGGATGTATCACAGTGAGAGTGTTCCTCTACCACCAGTGAGATTGCAAACAGGAATCATGTTACTTTGTGCTGTTACGAAGAGCTGTACTTAAAATTTAGAATCGCGCATATACCTTTGAAGTTTCAGTTTTGGGAATGTAAATGATGGAGAAGCCAGTGAAAGGTGGTTTCAAATCCTAGCCTTTACCACCACTTAAATTTGGTTTGCCTTCATAGTCTTGAATAACCATTTCTCAGCTAAAGCAGTCTGTAAGAGGATAGGAAATGACAATGGGAGCAGTCCAGGAAAACTAAGAAAAACTCTGGATCCCTAGGGAGAACTATATCAGCTCTGGGATTTGGAGACAGCTGATGTGCAGATAGCAGTGTTTTGTTGGATATTTGAAGAAAAGTGGGAGTAAAATATATTTATATAACTAATTATAAAAATCATAATTTAAAGCTTAAAAGGAATATTAGGAAGTCTTTTTTTCTCCGAAACGATTTTTGGAAAATGGCCTGATTTACCAGAGGTGACTATTGGAGCAGATGCAAATGAGCATTTACAAGGGAATTAGAAAAGCACATATGGAGAAAGGGAATGAGAGGATATGGGGTATGATCGGGGAATTGAGATATATATATATATATATATATGGCTTAATTGCAAACAGCGACACTAATACAATGGATGAAATGGTCTCTCATTGTGTCGTACAAATGTATGGTTCTCCGTCAAAGTGTGTTAATTTATTCTTTGCCCATATTATTTCCCTCCTTTCACATAGCTCGATCAGCCAGCATTAGGGGAATTGCATTGTACCTTTCTGATATCAAGCACAAGCTTCATTTCGATTTTTCTTGGTCTCAGCCTCGAGAGAAGATTGTGCAGAATTTGGTAAAATTCTTAAATTCATTCTTAATTTGGAAGCCAATTTTCTGCATTTCATTTCAAGTTAAGATTTCAGTTTGATCAGTGTCAGAGAGTGTGTGTGTGAGGTAAAGACACGGCTCAGCTGTGATCTCCTGCATAGAATACCCTGACAACAACACTTGTCTAGGCTTGCACATGGCTGCTCCACAATGTACTGAAGGATGACCAGCACTGTTGAACCAGCATAATTCAACAACTTTACGAGAGGAAAGAGACAGAGAAAAAAATGATGTTAAGGGGGCCGTCTCACATTAGGCAAGATCAGCTTGTTGGTTTTCAATAAGCTCCTAAGAGGATTGACTCACTCATAAATGTGCCTGTGGAATGCGTGACGATATCTGATGAACATTACTCTATTTTCAATCAAATGACTTTGGTAATAAACAAACAATATAAAATATTAGCACGTAGAGAGTACACTGATATCCTGACCATTGGCAATTTCCCAGTACAGCGAACGGGATAACCTATGATATTAGCAATTTAGCACTAATGTAAGTCTATTTTGAAATCATAAACTAAAACTGAGGCCTCAAATATTCTTATCACTTAGTGATATTTAGGAACTAGGACGTTTTTTAATCTGCGCTGTGGACATTTGAACATATTCAGGACAGTCATCTGTAAGAATAATAATGATATAATGAGATAACATCCTTTTTGTATTCCTGTTGGGCTCTATTTAAAGGTTTATTCCTGGGTTAAATCCTAGCATATGCCTGAAAAGTGAGAAAAATACCTTATTAAGACAGAGTGTAGGTTATATAAATTCATTAAATATTTTGATTGAAAATTTTGCTTTAAAGAACTGGAGTGTCACAATGAAACCCATTTTATTAATCAGTTACAAGTAATTTTGAATATTGTTAGCGTTTGTTACTTTATTTCTCATTAATGAATTCTTGGAATATTTTCATCTACACAGTGAATGCCAATGACCTTGGCCTCATTCCTAAGCAGATAGTTATGAAGCTTTTATTTTTTTTACCCAAGTTTTAATTGACATATACTAGTATTAACCAATTTTGATAGGTGCCGCAACCCACATTCATTGCTCCTTGACTTTATTTCTGCTCAAGCTAATTATCTTCCTTATTGCTTTAATTATCTGCCTTCGGCACTGCCAGGCTTGACTTCGCCCAACGCCCTGCTCGCTGGCCTTCCCAGCTTTACTCTCCACAATCTCCGCATCATTCAGAACTCCACAGAACACATTCTGTATCACGTAAGCCTCCACTAGCCCATTAACCCCATCCTCGCCAATTCCCCCAGCGATTGACTATTATGATCCTCATTCTTGTCTTCAAAGACCTCCACTCCATCTCTGTGATCTTTTCTGGCACTACTCCCCTGAACACTGGCACTACGGTGCCATATCTGGCCTTCTTTATGTCCTCTCATCAATAGACATCACCACCTTTCAATAATTGTTGGTCATGTTTCTAGATTCTGTTATGAAAAATGGAGGCTTGAGGGGGAAAGAAGACAAGACGGGGCAGTGGGATTGAATGAGCAGCTTGCTCTCATAAGCACTTCACACTTGATGGGTCAAACAGTTTCCTGTAAATGTCTGTGAATCTCTTATGATTAATGTTCAGTCCTTCGAAGAACACAAACCAGCTGGTGTGTTGCTCACTGAAGCACTAACAGCATCTCTAATTTTATAAGGTATTTTAAAACCTGCAGTTTGTTTGGGTGGGGAGTACAGACACGTGATCTCATGAAGTTGTCATAGAGAAGGAAAATTGCCTGGTAAAATATCATCTCAATCACTTTCCCAGGATAGCAGTGAGCAGAACTGTTTGAGTTTGCAGATTCAAATGCGTCATTTTAAAGCAGTGAATGTGTTGCCTCACAGATACTGTTAGCTTCTAACAAGAAAATTTAATGGAATTAAAACCATTCCATACTAGACCTGTAAATTATCGCTCGGTCATTTTGCACATTGATAAAAATTCCTTTGTTGGCTGATTCAGGACAATTAATCGTTAAGTAGTATGTCACTTATGTCACAAACTCCAAAAGGTTATTGATTTACTTTACCAGAAAAAAACATTTGGAACTTGTGCCCAAGACCACTTCCTTAGTGTAAATGTATTCTTGCCCGATCCTTATTCAAATGAAAAATATCGTAATGATCCTTAACCTAAGAAACACAACCTTTTCAGCTTCAAGGAAAATCAAGATTTACTGCCTTAAACTTCAATTTGCTTTATCTGTTATTCACAATTATTTAGACGTCAGCCTAGCTCAGTTGGTGGCACTTTCGTCTCTGAGTCACAAGGGTGTTCTTTCAAGCGCTACGTCAGGATTTTGAGCTCACATTCTAGGCTGACAATTCAATGCCATGCTGAGATCCTATCTGCCTGTTCAGGAGGACGTTAAAGAGAATGTAGTTTTTCCTAGTGTCCCGGCAAATTATTTTCCTGATAAAATCAGTCATTCACATTAGGGATATTTGTCGTATAATGCTGTATTCAAATTGACATTGCATTCATCTACAAATGCATCTCAACACTTTACAGTAAATCCTGTGAAGCTCTTTGAGGCATTTTGATGATGTGATAAGGGTCCTATATCAAATGCAAAGATTATTAGTGTGATAATGGTGTCATTTGAAGATGAAGGCAGCACTGAATGCCTGAATTTATAGCAACTCATAGGTGTTCCTATGTGAAGGGCACCATATAAACACAAGTGGTTGGTGGTGGTGGTGGTGGCGTTGTATTAATAAAATCCCTAGCATTTTTCATACCACTTTTATACTGTTTCAAGTGATTCAACAAGGTTCTCACTAGTAAAGTGATTTGGACAGAAAACCTAATTTATATGTTCGATATCCAATTGCATTTGCCACTGACCTAATCTTGTTATCACTTATGACTGGGAGTGCAATCAGCTCTCAAATAACATTAAAATCTTAAGTGGGACCAATAGTTCACTCAAGAACTTTTAAACTTAGTTGTTTTCTAAATGTGACAGTTAATTTAAATCTGCACTAAAACCAGATTTACGCTGCAGCTGGTGGCATTGATACAATTCCAAAGACATCCCTCAAGGTGGCTTCAAGATTCAGGTTAAAAAGTGAATCAATGTTTGTAAAATCAGATTTATACTGTACTTTAGCGTCTATTCAATGTGAAAATCATTTTCATCAATGCTTAAAGTGCAGTTTAAATGGGGCACAACCTTGCTACCTTGTACGCTATATAAGTTAAGAGGTTACATAACTATAGGATTCATACAATAAAAAATAAAAAATAAAATAAAAAAGAAATCAGTCACTAAGGACGTCATGTGCTTCACTCACTAAGTTCAGCGAATCATTTGATATGAATTTATAAGGTGCTTCCCATTGAAATATTTTCTGTGCAGAACTGTGGGGCAGCAAGCGTTCTGGGACACTACCTTGCTTGAGGGCTGCTATATAAAAGTTGGTGGTGTTGTAGCAGAGTAACCTATGAAGCCTGAGATTCTATTGGTGCACTTCCACCTTTTATCATTTTGTTTCAAGATTCTACCTTTGCTTTTAAATTATTGAAGTTGTGGTATTGAGGTAGGTTCCTAACGCATAACAAGGCGCGTGCACATTGATATTTCTGCTGTAACCATAATCCATCAAATACGATTGCCGAGAGGAGACTGCATGCTTTATTGTGACTTCTTTGTGCATCTTATAAATTCCACTTCTTGTTTCAGGTGAGGATGAATTGATGAATCCTCCCCAGGGGTCAAGCACTGGACTAGAGGATGTGATGGAACAGCTTAACAATTCATTTCCAAGCTCTCGAAGTAAGTGTATTCATTCAGCTTAATTTAACTATGATAACATTTGTTAGATTTGTACGAGGATAATTTGAATCTGGCACATACAAGGATATGCTTCACTCTGATCCGCTAGTATGTACTTATAGATAAAAATTCAAGTAAATATTAATTTGAAATGACCAGTCCAATGATGGAAGTTTTCTGTCCTTTTGGCATGTTCTCATCTCTGTAAATGTTGAGAAACTTTCATGGAGAGATAACCTCCTCAGATATGATATTTTTGATGAAGTTATTTCCTTCGCTATTTGGAACATTGTTTTGACTATGTTTGCTCCACCGACCATTGTTAAAGGTAAGGTCATGAAAATAAATAACTAGGCCTGTGATTTGTCACAGCACAGGCTACTTGGTAACAAGGGGATATAAACTCAGGCAGTTGAACTTTGGGAGAGGTTAGAATAAACACCTTCTATGTGGAGGTTTGTTAGAACAGGGAAATCTTTGCCACAAGTGACTATTGAGATCAAGACCATAACAATGTTTAAACTTTTAAAGGGAACAACATAAAATCACCTATGGGAAAGGTGCAGTGAATTGAGAATACAGTAGTTAACACTGTGTAGTGATTTGTATGATTCAATGAATCCATCAGTGTTATTAGCTTTAATTAAAAGCTTGTGGTAAACTTGTCCCATATTCTTATAACACTAGGTGTGAAAACTTTTTTTAACCTCTCCCTTAACTCTTGAGGTGACAATAATGCTCCCTTGTTACCTTTTGGAATGCTGAAGACCTCTATTAGATCCTCTTCTAACCTTTTGTGTTTCAATGAAAATAGCCCTGATATCCAGGTATATCCTCATAGCTGTGTATGATGCAACAAAGCCAAACAAGGCCAGATTTTGTCTTTAGTGTTAGAGCGTTTAAAACTGTGAGTTGGAGCAAATAATAGCATTCAATGGTTATTCACTTTTTTTTAAAAAAATCTTTAAAAAGTATTATTTCAGTTTTTATGAATAAAAAGTACTTGGCTGTACTTTAAGTATAATCTTAGTTTCATGTATGTTTAAAAGGAGGATTGCTGATGTTGAGTCTCCTCTTTATGGTTTTGAATGTATACCTAAAAGGTAACCTACATTATACCATTTTATTGGAATAAGGATTGCTTAATATTCATAATGGGTTTACTTGTAAATAAAAACAAACTGTACCAAATGTACTGTATAAATACAATACAAATAAGTTTTTCTTCTCACTTTCTACCATCCTACCTAAAAGTTATTACTAATGCTGAGACCCTTTGGTGCCTCCTCTTAATGGTCACTTTTTGCATATGTGTCTATCCAGTGAATTTGGGGAAGTTATTAGATCTTGCCTCACATGTCTGTTTCTGTTCTCACCTTGTGTTCAGACACAAATACTTTCAAACAGTCTCACTACATAATAATAATATCACATCTTCGAGACATCTCAAAGCACTTCACATAATAAATATACTGTAAAGTGAATTATATTTTTATTTTATTTTTATTTTTATTTTAAAATATGTTATATTTTTATTTTAAAGGCTGTTATATTTTGTGGACGAGACACGGCAGCCAATTGTGGAGAGTTGTGTCCCATAAACAGTCGTGGATTGAGTGACAAAATTATTATTATTTGAAGGGATTATTACCCCTGGTAAAGCGATCCGCCGATCGACTAACAACTGGATTCCTATTTACTGCTAGGTAAACAGGTGTGTGGAGTAAGGAAACTTACCTAAGATTTCACCCTGCCCGGGAATCGTACCCAGGTCCTCTTGCTTGTGAGGCACGTGCTCTAATCACTAAGCTACAAGGCACATAGCAATTAGAAGCTGAAACTTCTGATGATTTCTGGTGATTTCTTGGCCAATTGTAGTTCCCCATATTTTGCCCTATCTGAGATCACCTCAGTCAGCACTGACTGGGATTAGGATCTGTGGCCTTCCGGTATGTACAGCCCAGTGCAGCACCAACCATTGTCTTTATGTACAAGAACATTGGTGGGGAAAGCTATTTATAAATACATGGAAATCATAGATTCTTCTTCTTAGAACCTATTTTTTCATAATCATAAAAATGTTAAGATCAGCAGTGTTTTTATCTGCAGATTTAAATTGTACTTTAATTCCCTTTACTGATGGGGTGGAAGGGAACAGATACTAACACTGAACCTTTAGGAATTCAGTTCTTGGTTCCCTGAAGGGAATGCCACTATTCTTCGTGCTGGTGCTTGTGTTACAGAATGAATTAGACAGCTGTTAGACCCACGAGGAACAGCTGATGTTTTAAATAAAGCCAGATGCCAAGTTGAGATCTAATTGATGGGGCCGGTGCACTGTTGAATACCTCCCTTCAAATGATTTATGCAATGGTTACCCGTCATCTTGCATAATGCAGAGAACATTCTTTTTGCCCCGTGGCCTGTGAAGTACATTTGTTGAAGAGAAATAGGATATTGCAGAATTGCAGAGGCGATCAGATTTTCAAGGAAGTTCTTGTGAAACCAATGGTGGTGGCAACTGAGTGGAATTATAAGTCAGTGAGGGAGATTGTTGCCCTATATCAGTACATGAATGAACAAGTGGCTTGGAGTATTTCAGAGAATTGAGTTTCTGCGGGTACAAGTCAACCGGTGGTGGAGCTTAGTAGTGCAGCTGTGTTAAATGACATTCATATGAAGAGGACACAGCGTACTTAAGTTCTTTTAATGCATTTGAATTATAATTGAAAGTGAGGGTTGTGGATAAGTGAAAGTTAAATTATGAAATAGTAATCTTTCTAATTAAAAAAAACTGTTGGGAGTGTTTTTTGCTGATCCGTTGCACATCCCTCTTAGATTCCGTGTTTGTCTGATGCCGAACACTAGGAAAGGAGAACATGTCGCCAGAGTAGTGACAAGTTTGTGTCTCTTTTTCAAATTCTAACTTGTAAATATCTCTTTATAGATGATCACATTTGCAATTCTAATAATTTATAGATGTGACTAAAGCAGGGCTTTGACAAGGTGACAAACAAAGCCTTATTTCACAAGTAAAAAGACATTTGCTGGCTATGTCAGTAAGGAGAAACTAAAACTGTTGTTACATATTTCAGTACTGTGAAAACAGCTTTCAGTAACCTGTGTTGAGGTTTATAGATACTCATAAATAAATTACAAGTAATAAATCCAACTCAGCCATTCAGTGACATATTAAACCACTAGAATGATAGAGTACTCTATATGCATCTAACACTTTGAATTACAGCCTTATGTCCATTTTCAGGTAATTTTCACTACTTGCAGAATGTATTAGAAAGGGAATTGTTACTTAAAATATTTGTAATTATTGTTTTGTAACTTTATTTCTCAACACTGGTACTAGTTTTACTTAGATTCATAAATTTTGTTCCTGATTTGTTTTCTACCAAACATGATTTTAAGGGACCTAATCCTGCAGTATTTGTTCCATAACTAATGCACTGTACTTTCAACTGCGTTGAATTATAATTTCAACTGCATTGAAAGCTTGTGGTAAAATAGTGACCACATCATTCACTACCAATTTATTAACTGAATGTCGGACCAAGTCATGTGATGAAATGTGGCCTTTCTGGTAAAGATGTCTCGATTATGTAGATCAGCGTGGTCCAACTGGTGGCCCATAGGCTGCAATCGGCTCCCTCTCCTCGGTGACATCCTCTCATGTCAATGACAGGTTACTCTTAAGCATGGTGATGGGTTTCCACGAGAGTCAAGACACCCGACTGACCAAAAAAGACGGTTGTTCACTCAAGCTGTGTCTGCGTTTAGTGGCCATACTTGCCAATGTGGTGTCAAAGGGGCACTAAACTTTTGGGGAGCACTGTCCTTGGATGAGATACAGTATCCCGATGAATGCTGAGTTCACAGTGGCACTAACTTCAAGACGTATAACTCATAGAAACATTAATATTGTATATCACTAACCCATGATGATTTTCTCAATATCAGTCACTTAGTCTGTACTGTTTGTTTTCATTTTCAAATTAAATTGCTAGCATGAAAGTGTTTATAGTTATCATTGTCAATATGAAACAAGTTCATCAACAATATTGTTCTTTTTTTCCTTTCTTTCCATCTTCTATTTTTATCTATCACTAAAGGGAGGGATGCCCCTGGAAAACCCGTGAAAGAGGTTGGTGAGAAAAACTCACAGCCAGAGCAATGCTGCACTGCTTTAGACATGCTGGCTTCTTGCATTGTTAGTGTTATGTGCAATTGTGGTGTGTTCTTTATGTGCATTTCACATACCTGTTGACAGCTTGAAGTACTAACTTATGTAGTAGATCTGTGCTGTTAACAGCTTTCACAAGGCAGCAAATATTTCCTTTAAAAATGCTTTCCTAGGTTGTAATGATTTATTAGAAGTGAATGCGTTTGTATTTTAGTTATTTTTTCATGTGTATCAGCCCAGCTTTAAAGTTTAGATCAAAGTTATAGTGTTTTTCTTTCATTATAAATTAAAATAAATACAATAATTAAATATTATTAGAGAGATTCCTAATTCCCCTTGGCCCATTGCTAACATAGTGAGAGAGATCAGTATTTAACCCTGAGCTATTGAGAGTAGGTTGGAGAGGGAGATATTTATCTCTGTCCTTTTGTTAGCATGTTGGGGAAATAGAACTGTACTAATGCACTGTTAGTTCATTTATATGGCCATCACTTACGCAGCCTCAAGTTGCTTCACACCTTATTGCTGTTTTGACTTGCATGGCAGTAAAGATATTAAGAGAATCATAAAACATATGACAATTATACCAAGGAAGCGAGAAACTAAATGTTTCCCCTTTGCTACTATTAGTATTCCCAAATTTAACTATTTCTAACACTTTGATTCCCAAAAGGCACACGATTATTCCAAATCTGGCATTACTGTAGTAGTCATTGTGAGGACCATTTATATTGCACTGTTCTGAGTGGGGTGTTGAAATATAATGTCAGGCCAATAAGAGAAAGTCTTTAGAAACAAATCAAATATTAACTGCCATCAAATTCGAGAAATGGATTTTACTTTCAACCCACCCCATGCCCAGGATTTAAATCATCAAAGTATAGTGAATTCTAGTTCGTCATTGTCATCCAGGCTAGTGGGTGTACCTTGAAGTTATCAATTAAAATAATCATAAAGAAAATTGCATTATCCTTATCGGCTAGGCTGACGGTCAATTTTTATACAGTATATAATATACATACATAATATGGGTCTGGGGAAAGAGCAGAAAATTGGAATTAGAGTTTACATCTCCGGTGGAGAAGCTCACACCAGAATAGGCTTGATCGACTGAATAGTAATTTCTGTGGTCCTAAACCTAGATGTCTATCTACTGCCCTGCAACAAAACTGCTCTGTAAAGCCGGAAAACTTGGAAACAAATTCAAAACATGTTATTTTTAAAAAGCATGAATGTTCAGAATTTACTTGAAACAGTGAACTTGGCCAATAGTCAATTGTGGTGCTCAGGTTCATCACATTCAGATTTTGCCTTTGGTGCATTCGAAGTGTTTAGTCAATATGAAATTAATTCGACAAATTCTTAAAATTTGTGTTTTCCCACATGAGTCTTTTTTTTCTTTAGTATGTCAATAAAATAGTACCATGCTGTGCCTGAATTAATTTAGATTTAATGATTTTTTAACCAGCATAAACTGATAGTGAAAAACAGACCGATCTAGTCAGGAGGTAGAGGGGCTTAAGAATTACTTCCTGGTATAAATCAGTATGTGTTACTGTCATGCAAAGCAGACAGGAGTGTTAACACCATAGGGTAGCTTCTCAATTTGTGCTAACATAACTTTCTGCTTGTCTGTTAAAACCATGCATCTTTTTTACAATACATTTCCAGCCAGCACTGCTACCTAGCAATGCTTTAATTTTTTAACATGAAGTGTGATTTTTCATTTTGTTTTTCAACAATACTTCCAATTGCTTCCAGTAAGAAAAACATCTCATCATTGGCAATGTTTTACAAAAGAGAAACTAAATAGTATTTTATGAAAGTTAAAATTAGAATTTTGCAAAATAACTAAATAAATAATAATTAAAGTGCAAATTTACAGTCCTGAATGCTTTAGAAAAAAAATCCTCAACATAAATGTACATTTTTTAATCTTAGCTGCATTAGAAACATAGGAACAAGAGTACGAGTAGTATAGATTTATTAATCTTAGGAGCTCTTTGTGTTTTCAACCCAACTTCCAGGCCTTTTCATCATATGACCAAAAAACGAGCAAGAAAAGTAATTTAGCGCACGTTAGATGGAGATTTCGTAAGAATTCCATTTGAATTCCACAAGAACGTGAACCTAAATAGCCCCCATTGAAATTGCCATGAAATAAAAGCACAACAGGACCCACTCGTCATGTGAACAATTACACTTTGGTTGAAACGCCAACATTGGTAGTTGTTGACAATATGTAAATCAGCTGCTACCATTTTAAGTCGGAACACTATGACAAATTACAACACTAGCTGCCACCTCCCCCCCCCCCACCCCACCCACAGGGCACGAGAAAGTATTGTTGACCTGTGTTATCCACATCACAATGGGCAAAAATCAATTCTGTTTCAATTGTTCTATAGTTTTCATGCCAAGTTGGTTTAAGGATTTGAAGAAAGCAATGAGGGAAGGAATATAAGTGCAGCTCTTGCCCACTTTGTCTTTTGAGTTAAGAGTTACTTTGTTCTAGTAAATATTAACTATTTTAAAACCAGCTCAGAATAATTTATGAGTCAGATTTGTTACTTGGTAACGTGCTTGAACTGTGCTACGTGCAGCTTGAGTAGGTAAGCAACAATGTATCCTGGTTATAGAGACACAGTTCATTTGAGCCTGGAGAAATAGATGCTGATGTTATTATAGAAAGAAACAAATATGTAACTTGGCTCTTATGGAAGAAGCAGTTTCTGGAATGTGTCAGTGAAGACTAACATTATGTGGAAATAGCTGCAAAACAGATTTGATTTTTGTTGACTAAAATTGTATTTGAACAAGATCATCTGAAGAAATGTCCATTATTGAACACTGTTCCGGTGTTATTGTTTGTGATCCAGTAAAAGTTAAAATTCATGGTTTAACTCTAACTCCATTGTCATCAAATACCTCTTTTACAGAGCAGCAAGCACCTTGGAGAGTGGCTGTCTTTTTACTTTCCACAGGGCAGAATCCATTGGATCAGCTAGAAAGAGGAATTATCCTTAAATTGTTTAAAAGTTAACAATAATTCTGTCCTTTCCTCCTTTCCATCAAACATTTTCCTTCGTAGTCCTGAAAAACTGCAGCCATTTTCCTTGGATTTTTTTTATAAGATGAGAAACGTCTTGATTTATAATACGTCTTGAATAGTTCCCATTTATCTCCCTCCCTCCTTTCTGCTCAGACTGTGTGGCACTGTGGAGATTAACTACTTAGTCCAGAGATGGTCAACCCTGCCCCATGCCTAAGCAGATAGGAAGAAGGTGAATGGGACCATTTACAAACTTAAATGAGTCAGTCACTCACAAATATCCTTTCTTTTCTCTCTGCAGGCAACAATGTAGGCAACCTCTTCCATGTGGTGGACGATTTAGGCAGAGCGATGGAAACTTTAGTGACAGTCATGACTGATGACGAGGCAGCAGAGTAACCAGATGTGCTTTATCACAACATTGGCTTCAGATGTCAAGCATGGTTTTTATATGTTCGTACAAAATATAAAAGGATTGGACCGTACAGGTTTACAAGAAAAAAAAGAAAACATCTATTTTTTTGTGAAAGGTAGTGGTATATACTGTAGATTTCAGTAGTTTCTTAAGTCTGTTATTGTTTTGTTAACAATGGCAGGTTTTACAGTTCTATGCAATTGTACAAAAAAAACAAAAACGTAAAATCTTGGTAGCTACATACCTTGCCATTGCTTTGTATGGAACGTGTTTCGGATTGTTAAATTTGTAACAATTATGAAGATTGTTCACTAAAGGGTGCTTTCTAACAAATATACATAATTTTATTGTTTATAAACCTTCCAACTCCCCTCCAAAAAACATTTTAAAATTATAAGCAGTAATGAATTTGTCTTTGCAACATTACAGCTCTAAAATCAAATCGGAGAAATATCAATGATTAGTTTTAACTAGATTTCCTTTTTAATCAGTGAATTACAGTAGCACATAGCAGTACCAAATTAATCTGGGATCCAGTCACGAATTTGAACTTTTTTTAATGAAATACTAGTTATCAATCACTGCATCTCCCAGGAAACCACTATAATTCAGGCATAACAATTGCACTTTGGAGAGTTCTTATATGTTCAGCATTAGACATATTTTATCAACAAAGTCAGCAGAAATCATTTCGTACCATGTTGTTTCTACCTCATTTTTTTGTTTTTGGATAAATTTTCCCTCCAGTTAAAAACACAAAAAAACAGTTAAATTAGATTCAGGACAAAAATCAGTGCCCTTAGATTTAAAGTTAGAAGCATAAAATCTGCTATTAGACTTTGACTAAATTTCACAAATAGCCTCTCCACAATAGAGAAAGTTTTTGAAATGTATTCATGTGACTATTCAGAGTTGCATTCTGTTTCTAAGTCAATCTTGAACCAACTTTTTTAAGGCATCATCTGTTTTCTAATCCATTCAAGTAAGGTACAAATAAGGGTTAGTTTACCACAAATATCTCTGCTGAAATAGATATTTGCTCGCAGCAGCTGTGTTCTCGGTTGTGATTTCATTAAATAGAATACTAGTTTTTTTTTGAGTGCGTAGGAAAAAATGCAAAATATAAATTACCATTACTTCAAAAACTATATCATCAAACATTTGAGTTCACTTTGGTATGACCTGAATGTATTTGACTATGGAAGTAATCGGTATAACTTGGTGCATAAATATCACTGCAGCATGTTACGTCATTTTAACCAGTATTGTTTGTTATTCAAATATCATAATATATTGCATTATGCATTACATTAACATCTTCACTACATATACTAATTGTTTTGTAAAGTATATTTTTCCTGCATTATCATCACATATCAAGTTCCACACAATATATGCCTTACTATTGTATTATATATTGCTTTACTGTGTATACAAATAAAGCACGCAGTTATATTACTTATATTGGTTCCTGATTTATAAGCTGAAACAAAGTGCATGTTGTCTGGCTTCTTTCTTTAATAGTGCTTAGTACAGGTCTCTGTACTGTTAATTAGATATTTAGGTTACACCAGAGACTTTGAAGAATAGGAAACTCACACTTAGGCTCTTCAAGGTCTGAGAACCTCTATTGAAGTCAGTCAGTATTTGATTAGCAAGCACAAAGGCAAGCACCAAGTCACATAAAAATTATTATTTTGACAAATTCTTGCAAATTGTAAGATGTGCACATTATCAATATCAGAAAAAGTTAAATGTATATGCGTTATATGACATCTTTCTTGTTCTTTCTTTTAATTTGAGCAAAACTTTTGTCTATCTTCATGGTGACGATGGTTCACTTCCTCTTTAGTAATAGACAATAATCAGCCAGTTCCTACTTAATAAATAATAAATACCTGTAAGTAATCTTTGCATTTGTTATCGTGTCATTGCATTTGGTTTACAAAAAGGTTTGTAAAGCCTCCCAAAGCGCACTTCACAAGATTTACCGTGGAGTGACTGTGTAGGCGAATCATCAAACTGGATTAAACATTATTTTGGCCTTTTCTTATGGAAGTATGGGGGTGGGGGGGTTAAGCACAAGGTAAATAACTCTTGCCTGCTTTTGACCACATTTTTTCAGGTGATGTGACAATTATCGCCAGTGATGAGGGATTTTTCCCACATTTTAAAGAAAAGTTTGAGTCAATGGTGTTTGAATCTGTGTATCATACCTGAAGGAGAAGATAGATGGAGGCAGGAACTAGTTGGCCAGTTTGGGTACTCTGCATTCTATATAATGTATGATGTATTCAGTCCTTTTGCTCGTGAAAGCCAGTTGATAATGCCTAGCTACTATCGCATTTTGTGATTTATAGTTTACTGCACAGCATATTAATGTGAACCTTACTGGTTCACAATAGTTCTTCTGAGAACTTCAATGCAAGCCGCAACGATCACTTTCCAAACTCCAAGCTGACTTCAAATTCTGAGGAATTGTCACAGTGCAATTCTTACTGTCTTTGTATTCTCCAAAGTGAGTGACCAGAGTGTGCAAATGAAGAGAGGAAATTGTTTTCATCTTATTCATCCAGTCACAGAACTCCCATACTTTGCTCTGATTAAATGCATGAGACACATCTCAGAACAGTGCAATGGGATTTATTTCCCACATTCTCTAGCCTTATTTTGAGTGAGCTTTGCTGTGTTAGTGCTAAATTGAGAACTCATATCAAACTGGGAAGTACACTCATACAAGCTGGGAAGCACTCACACAATTCAAATGTGTTTGAGTGATACTCATGAAAACATCAAAGGAAAGAGAATCTCATGCTAGATTTTTAACCTGAAGCCCTGAGGTGAAACAGCAGTTTTTCAACATACTCTATGACCCAATCTGCCTGAGGTTCTCGCTTCGTACAGGTTTTCATAAACAAGTAAATGGATTCATCGGCTTTCTCAAGGATAACATTTACAAAAAGGTATGGTTTGTAAGATGAAATTTATATTCTTCTTTGATTGCATTGCTGGAAAAAGAGCTTTGAGTTCTGTGAGTGTGATGAACACATGATTAGACTGTCACACATACTAAGAACAAATTGCTTTTATGTGCTTTTGTTGCAGTTTTTCATTTTCCTTTCCTTTTTTGTACAAGTGTCTCGTTTTACAGTTCAGTGCACAGGAACACAGGAGCCCTGGCGTTGTTAACACTCTTAAAGAATAATAGACCAATAGTGGTAACAATTAAAACTTTCATGCACTTTACACAACTAATTTAATCTTATTAATTATAGTAATCTTTGTATTTGATATAGTGACTTATCGCGTTGTTGAAATGTCTCAAAAGTGTTTCACAAGATTACTGTGAAGTTACTGGGACAGTCAACTTGTGCATATCACTGTCCCATAAACAGCCATGAAGTAAATGATTAATTTGGGGGATTGATGGTCAGTGAACTGGGAGAAACTCCCTTCTCTTTCTGAATAATACCATGGGATCTTTAATGTCCATCCAAAAAGCAGATAGGATCTTGGTTTAATGTCTCATTCAAATGTCTGACAATGAAACGATCCCCATCACTGCTCTGGGGAATGTGAATAACCACAGATAAATCCTACAAGAAGGCAAAGTTCTGCAAATTTGACTTCAGCTTTCAGGATAATGATGTGCATAATTCAACACAGAACTGATCCACTACCATGGTTCTAAACCCATTTCACATAAGTCATATTGTTCTCTGCAGCATTTAATCATTGATCAATATCCCTATAACTACTGATAAAATTATAATAATATTTAGGCAAAGCAATAAATGAAGTCATTGTCCAGAAGGGGGCCACCACCTATTGGTAATCCTTGAGTATTTTTTAAATAGCACGAGGAATAATAAGTAATAATTTTAGCATTTGATACGGCACCCTGTGCCATCAGAATGCCATTTCATAGAGTTTTCTACACAGTGATTATTTATAATAATAATCCTCGCATTTGGTGTGGGTTTCACATCAGGAGGACATCTCGAAGTGCTTTACAAGATATACTGCAAAGTGGAGTGACTGATTTCTGGGCAAACGCAGCAGGCATAAAACGAATGACCAATTTTATTTGGGGGATTGTTGGCCAGGACACCGGGAGAAACTCCCTTCTCCTTTCGAATAGTGCTATGGGATCTTTAATGTCCACTTGAGCAGGCAGATATAAGACGGAGCCTTGGTTTAACATCTCATCCAAATATGCCACCTCCAACAATGCAACACACTCCCAGCATTGTATTGAAGTGTCATCTTAGACAATATAAGTTCCAAGTCCCGCCGTGAGCTCCAGTACCTTCTGACTTAAAGGCAAGAGTGCTACCAATGGAGTCACACCGACACTCCATTTGTAGGCAATTGCAGCAGCTAATTTGCACTTTGCAATAACAGCTATGAAGCGAATAACCAAGCTTTTACAGGGGCTTATTTGCCAGGAGAAAATCCTTTCTTTTTTCAAATAATGTCATAAGATCTTTAAATTCAACCTGAACAAGGAGACATGGCCTTCGTTTAACAACTCATGTAACACCTGCTTCAGTGCTTACAGTGCTTTGGAGTGTCAGCCTAGATTGTGAGCTCAAAGATCCAATGTGGGGCTTGAACCCACAAACTTCATAATTCAAGAGACAAAAATACTACTAACTGGGCCTCTGAAGGAGACAATACATTCTAGCCCCTCTGTTTCTTATTTGAAACAGCAGTTACAAAAACAGTCACTGCACTGGACAACATTTACTGTTCAAGTACTTTGAGACAAATGTAATAAGCCCTACAAATGCAAGTTTATTCATTTGGTTCTACGTAAAGGCTACGAATTGTACACCTACTCAGGACATGATTAAATACCTCATGTCAGTAAGCCTCACCCACAGCAGAAAAAAATTAGATGTTCCTATTTTAAGTGACTTCCAGTATCAGTTAAGTGTCTTCATTGTTTTTTTTAACAATGTGTTTTGAAATTCCAATTAGCCACTTGTACCACTGATTGAAAAATGGCAATTCTGTTTTTAAAGGGTGAAATGTCCACATGGCTGAAATTCTGCTTTTATTTGATTCTATTTACAGGTACATTTCAGTAACTAGAGGAAAACCACCCCTGAGGGTTTTTTTTTCCCCAGGAAAGGTTTTTTTATATGGCATGAAAACACTGAATTTGAAGTCAACAATATTCAGTGTTTCATAAGATCTGACCCTGATTGGTGATGGTGGGAGGAGGGGGTGTTGACTTGTGCTGAGGTGCAGGGGAGCAATTACTGAGCCATTACACTGTCCTTATCCTGCCTCAGCACATATTTTTCATTTATCCCACTGAAAAATTAAATGTTAGTTTAGTTTTAAAATGTGAGGCATTTTTCAAAATGTATTTGTTTCAATCCAAAACTCTTCCATCAACATATGCCTGTTCCAAAAACAGTAGTCTCTGGGAACACTCAGCAGGTCAGGCAGCATCTATGGAGAAAGGAAAGTGAGTCAACGTTTCAGTTCCACGTGGACCCTGACCTGCTGAGTGTTTCCAGCGACTTCTGTATTTGTTTTCAGATTTCCAGCATCTGCAGTATTTTGTGTTATGTCCATTCCATATCTTCAATTTATCTCCCCTAGCTTTGGCTTCCTGGACCTCTGGAGTGAGCATGTTAAATATGACAAGTGTTTCATTGCATCTATAAAATCATTATTAGTTTAAGCAAAATCTTTGTTTTCTCTTACCTTTCTTTGGTGTTGCTTCTTCTGTCAATTTCTCCTCTTTTACTATTTCCACTAAATCTTGTTTTGTCATGTTACTTTTGCAAATATGTGAGCACCCGCTGCTTTTATTTGATGGCTGCTTGTGGGACATTGCTGGTACAAATTGACTGCCACTTTCACCTAACGATACACAATCACTATATATTACGGCAATATTCTGTGAAGTGCTTTGAGAGATGTTTCAACATTATAGGTGCCATAGCAAAATGCAATTAGCTCAATATGTGAGAAATGAAAGACAAAAGATTATAATGCAATGAGGGAGAAATAGAAAGTGAAGCAACAAAAAGTGACAATTGAGACTTATTTGCATTTTTTTCTTCCTGATCTGTTCAACAAAACAGAAATGTATTTTGAATTTCTCAGTACAAACATTTAAATGCATTGATTCAATTTCACTACAATTATGATCAAATTGCATCTATAGTCAAAATTCATGCTTAGCTTTGGTGTAAAGCCATCTAATTTATTTGTTTGCTTTCACTCATTTAGTTGCCCCAGCTCTATTGAGTCTGCCAATTTGAAATTTACTTGAGACATCACAATTGGAATGCTTGCAGGAATTCCAGATATGTGGTTGAAGAACATTACTGCAAAATGTCAATAGTGTCCACCATAACAACTCCTGTTGATTTAATAAGAATCCTTGCATTTGATAAAATGCGTATTGCAACATCAAGAATACCTCTTAACATTTC